AAATAAAATGTAATACGCCTTTGATGCCGCGGATAGTTTATTTAATTTAAAAAAAAAAAAAATAATAATAATAAATTTGTTATTTAGGGGAGTTTACATAAGTGTAATACAGTAGCAAAATGTTTTTAGGGGAGTTTACATAAGTGTAATACAGTAGCAAAATATTTTTAGGGGAATTTACGTAAGTGTAATACGGTAGCAAAATGTTTCAGGGGAGTTTACATTTGCCCATTTTCTATGTAACACACTTGTAAGATGGAAAATTGGAAACAATAAATGACCATGTAGCATCCTGTTAGTGTAATTTACTCACGGAAATTGTTGAAAAATGTCTTACACATATGTATTTATGTATACAAAAAAATTTCATTGATAGAGTTTCAATATTTATAATCATTAATTTATATTTATATACCAACAGTTTTAGACTGAAATTTCTAATTTTATAGAAAGTTACATTTTACAATTATTAGTCCATGGTTATATAATTGTATTAAAACAGTTTGATATTCACGGATATATTTTTACTGATGGTTTGAATTATTTATTTACCAAACAGAAATAAAAACACTCCTGGATTTAAAACCGCCCTAACACCAAAACATAAACATGGTAAATATAAGAAAATGCATTTACTACAAATACACTACTTTCAAAATAACTTACGATCTTAGATTTACCCGAAACATGCAGCAGCTAGACCGACACATCCTAATCCTGAACCTAACTCAATGATTCTTTTAGATTTGAATGTCTCACTGTTTTTTAAAAACAAAGTTTCTAAATACTTGGCCAATACTAGTGATGCGTCCCATACAACACAATTGACATCACCATACTCCTGTTGGCAAAATYGCAATGTGACATTAACTGATTCCAAATCGAATTCCCTATAATAAGCGTTCGAATCCATTGTTGAACGATGGCTTATTGTTTTGCACTTTTTGCAGTAATGAAAAATTCAATCGTTAAATGTATATAAAAGTTTAAATAATCCAACTCTAACAAGTATTTAGTATACAGTATACACTAAATTAATATCTTTAGATAAATATCTGAGAATTGAGATCCATTATCAGTTATCACTTCTGATAAGGCGATAACCAGAATGCTGTATATTCTATTGCATTTTCATAACTTMAAAGGAGATTTTAATTTTTAATTAACCTACTTATTTATCAGATATAATATTCAAGAATCAAGATGGATTATTATCATCTTTAAATACATAATATAATGAAACATGTTCAAGCATTTTACAACTATTAACTAACAATTTAATAAGATTATTGATATAATATCATTTATAAAAATGATTAGATCCCTAGTTTATTTAAAAATATAAGTTGAGGTAGGTAAACTTGATCACCAATTATTTTATACAGGGTACAGAGAAGTCGGATATGAAATCATTTTTTTTTTTTAATTTTATAATTATATTATATACTTGTTACTTAACATCGAGACATGTCTCAACAACCTTAATATAGCCAACCGTCCAGATTTCGCATGGACAGTTCAGATTGTCTACTGGACGACATAAATTATTAAATATTCAGGTTTTTCCCAAGTCCCTCGATGTATTTATGCGATGTCGACAAGTAAGTATCAACTTTTAGATGATATAATATTTTGTGAATTTTTGGAAACAGATAGAGGACATATTATACTTATAAAGCTGGCAAAAGCAAGAAAAAATACAACTTTTAAAATAGCAAGAAGCCAAGAAATATTATCAGAAATATAGTAAAATCCAATAAAAAAAATATATTTATAAGGTTATGTTTTCAGTAGGTGTCCAGTTTTTGAAATTACAAAGGTTGGCAACCCTAGGTACCGCAGCGACCTGTCTACTATAAACCACCTTAATTGGGAATCACAATGTATAAATATATTTATAAGGTTATGTTTTCAGTAGGTGTCCAGTTTTTGAAATTATAAAAGTTGTCAATCCTACAATGACATAATAAACAAAATCTATCAAAACCAACGAAAATGAAAACCTACTCAAATTAATCAATCCCTCTAAAAGAATAGTAACTTCTAATATTTGCTCATCTACTCGTATATCAAAATCAAACCAAAAAATACTAAACGCACCACCTATTAGATGTTGTACACATTTCTTTTTGTTCAAATTGTATTCATTTCGTTAAATTGAACAATTCCAACTCTTCCGGCATAGTATATACATGGTATGTACACCACTGATGTGCACAAAATATCGACATAAATATTTAAAAATTAAACATAGTCGTGGTTCCGTTGAAAAATACTTAGTTATATAGGTTATAATTACGAAACTATTATTTTATTATTAATATTAGTTATAAGGCATTAAACATTCGATTTATTAGCGTACAATTGTTAACATCATTTAAGGATAGTTTTCAATTTCTAAAATTAATTGAAGTCTAAATGAAAACATTTTTTTTTTTTTTTTTTATATAAATAATTTACATAATTAAAGAAGTGTGGTCCTGTATGCTCACTGTGAGTTCGGTTATTTTTATGTTTTTTTAATTATTCTTTAATCTTTTCCAGAGTGGAGGGGATGATATTATTTTGGATAAGTTGGTGTTAACATTTAGTTTTGTCTAGACATTCTAGCAAATGGGAGACGGGACATTCGAGGAATATAATATTTTAAGCACCATTGCACCAAGTTCTCAGAGACTCATTTCGCAATCTGAGCTCGTATTCCTTACATATTAAATGAGAATGTGTTATGTCATTATGACGTGTCACGTGTACCTAACTTAAGTCTATCTCTAGTAAGTTTAATACGTACAATATGTCAATATGTATATTGTAGGTATAAACTACCTGATGGTGGTAGATTCCTCGTGGCTCATGTGTAAGCTTAATTAGTGGGTGTGGCCATATTTTAGTAGATGGTTTAAAATGCAATATGCTTATTAGATATACCTACTTTTATTTTTTAGATTTTCTAATGATTAGGTAACTTTTAAATAAATCTATAACAATATTTATTTTCGAATTGTTATAATGTTCTTTGATTTGTATACCACTGTAATTCATCGATATGAAGAAAAATTATACTAATATTTCGTAATTTGTTAATTCTCGGTATTTAAAAGTTATTTCTAGTAATTTGAAAACAAACACGATACACTAGTTTTACAAAAAAATTAATTTAATTATTTTTATTTGTTTTCTCAGATACTTTGAAAAGTGTCAAGAATATTTTACTTTTTATCCCCATAATAAAGTACAAAACTACTTACTGGATCCAATATGTTAACAATTACTACCTACTCATTATACTCCCTATAAAGTTGCTTGCACTAAAAGAAGATGACAGATTTCATTGTGAATTGTGATATGAATATATTTGCTACTCCAAACAGAATCCAAAATGGTTGTTGCCATTTAAAAATCCCAACTCAATTCTCTTCTCATAATATATACCTATAGTAAATGGGTCAGTGATTTTGATGATTGTTCTTAAATAGGTATGTTCTTTATATGTTCCTTATAATATGTAAATAATATCAGTACCCAAAATTCCAATCTACTTGAACACACTGTATAGCTATAATATGTTGTATAATTTAGAAAATAATATTAATATTCAATACAACATGGTAATATATCTAATCATAATTAATTATCCAAAAATTGGACAAGCAAGTAACAATCTGGTGCTTTTTCTTTTGAAGCAAAAAAAAAAAAAAAAATAACTGTACACATTATTTTATGGATCTAGATCATTCAAAAATTATTTTATAGATTTTAATGCTGGTAAGTCATGTGGAATAGTTGCATTATTTGTTGAAAGTGTTGGCATGTCATCAATTCCAGAATATCGATCATCGTTGTCCAATGGTAAATCTAATAATGCTTGTACCTTCATCACTTCTGCCATCATTTTTTTCTAAAATTATTTTAAATAGATTAAATCAATAAATGTATTATAGTTTATGAATTATTAAAACAAATTATTCTGTGTTTAATTAATGTGTTTACAAATTACCTATTACAAAAATGTATAATAAATAATATTTAATGATATTCAGCTTCAACATAAAATAATACACTTTAGACTGAGCAAATAGTATTCTATGTATACAGAGTAAAATCTAGACAGTAGACAACTATGGAGAATTAAAAAATGTACACTAATGAGAAAACCTCTACATAATGGAAATTTGAGAAAAATTACTAAATATCCACTTTAGGGAGACACTATATATAGAGAATTGGTTATACATTTATATATACAATATACATATATTGAAGTTGGTACATATTAATTGATTATTTATTATATACACAACATGTATGTATTTAAAAGTGGGTATAAAAATGTTATTAAAAATATATAATGTTTTATGTTTATGTACAATTAAAAATATCTGTAATATTTTTTTTTGTGTTATTTTTTCTGCTCTTTTCGTGATATCTTCATGTATTGTGTCCATTCATGAAAGGTAATTCTTAATTTTGGTATCAGTTTTTAGTGTCCACGTCCACTATTTAGAGGATCCACTATTAAGAGGTTATAACTCCTATTATGTATACCTATACATTTTTGCCTGGGAATTAAAATGTGTCCACTATTGAAAGGTATCCATTAAGAGGTTTCACTGTAATAGCAAAAGTATTGGTTATTAACAGAAACAAATTTCTGTCAATTATTGAATAATATTTACAACATTGTTACTTGATATTATGTAATTTAAAACATAATACAAACAAACTTTTTCTTCTTCTTGATTTAAGAGTTTAAAAATGATGATACTCTCAACACAGTGGTTCCCAATTAGCATTATCCACGAAACTCTAGCTAAAACTTAAATTGGACATAGAATGGGGATCCTTTATTTGTGATCACTTACTTTTCAATTTTATTTTATTATAAAAATGAAAAAAAATTATATTTGTTGACCTTTTTAGTCATAATCGAGTTCAATAGTGATTGCGCAAAATACCCGGAATTTTAAATCAATACGTGTTTATTAACCCCTAGGGGTCCGCTGACCACCAATTGGGAATCACCGTCTTAACAGCTTTAAATCCATAAATTAGTACTGAATCCTAAAATGATCTAACTACTTAGAACTTTATAATCAATTTTAAATTAATAGGAGCATAATGTTATACCTATTTAACCCTAACTTAACCTTCTGAAGGGTGTACAATAAGGTCAATAACATTTTTATTACATATATAATAATAGTCAATAGGTACCATGGAAAAATTGATTTTTTCCTATTTTATACCTTTAAAAGTCTTTATATAGGTAATATTATAATGATAATATTTTACCTTTCAATATGTAAAATAAAAATATTAAATTCCATACTTAGGTAATTGTTTACTTATATATACAATATCATTGTTGAAATATTAAATTATAATTTAGTTGTTACTCTGTAGATTGTATACAATTAGTAGTATTATCATACTGTATTTTAGCTATATAGTTATACATTTATAGAAAAATTGAAAATACAGAGATGACATATTTTCAATATTGTGTGTGTGTGTGTGTGTGTGTGTGTGACAGTTAGTAATATTACTATATTAGCTATAGTATGATTATGTAGGTACACAATTCTTGTCTTTACGGCAGTCGAGATATTATGCGACCCGTTGCCGATGAATCGCGGAAAAAATGCCCACGAAAAAAAAATCCACGGAAAAAAAGCCCATGGAAAAAAACCCATACAAAAGAAATTACCAAGGAAAAAAAGCCCTCTGAAAAAATTAAAATTAAAAATAAATGTTAATATATCTATATTTAATATAATTATTATATAATATTTTTTTATTTTTAATCTAGTTTATGCAAGTTTATATAAATTGAAAACTTTGCTTAAACCAGTCAAAATATTAGTTAGGTAATAAAATTGAAATTTACTGACAAATGACAGGTATTTGTATCCATCCAAATAGGTACTAACTAAATAATATGACATGTAGTATTCCATTAGTATACACTTGGTTGTTGGTTGTAATTGTTGTACCTACACAATTATACTATTACAATTATTATTTTTGCGACTATTGCGATTATTATTATGAATTATGATTATGTTTTATTATCTGTAATATTGTGATGATATCATCACTTATGATATTTGTTAATTATTATATTTATAGTTTGAATTATGTACTGTTTTATCACAAAATGAAATAACTATGTGATTATTGTATTATGATAGGTATTTCGTATTTGAGTTAATCAATAAAATGATATAAATCACACTTTTATTTTCGTGAGTTTTTTTAATTTTTGGGTTTTTTCTCGTTGGATTTTTTTGGGGGTTTTTTTCCGTGGTCATTTTTTCCGCTTACCGTTGCCGATATATACGTTCATGTGTGCGTATACCTAATATATAAATATTATTATTATTATTATTCACTGAATTAAATTTTGTTTATTAATTTAACTTAAAACTGGTCTGGATTACTTTGTAAATCTATTCCTTTTAACAACTATATAATTGATAGATTATATCTAGTTACCTGGTTATACTATATGTCTATATATTCGGTATACATACATATACTTAAATAGTTTATTGCCTAAGCCCTAGGTATAGGTACAGATTAAATATATACTATCTTTAATTATATTTTTTGAATGTCTCTTTGGCCTTTTATTTATAAATTGTATACTAATGAATAATTTAAAATTTAAAATCAATAATCAATATAAATAAATAAAAGTAAAATCTTTCATCTGTGAAATATCATGATAATTTGTTGCACCATTTTCTTAAGAAATGTCAATATAGGCGGTTAGTAGATAAAATAGCTGTATGTTTATATAATATTTTCCTATTTAATCTCATTCTATGAAAAAAAATATTTCCAACAATTTTTTTTTTTATCGAAAAAATAACAATTATTATTACCTTACCTATTATAATTYATAAGCAAGCACAACTCCACAACCTACCTCATCAAGCTTTCCAATATTGTGTTTTATATGTTTACGAAAAACATTTTTCAATGCTTTATCTGTTGACAAGTCAAGTCTAACTACTTCGTTTGTCATTTCTTCAAGAAATCGTTGATATGATGATTCATCCATTGTATTTTGTAAAAACTTACTAAAACAAAACAATGAAAAATTATTTTAATATTAGATAATAGCTATTCATGAATATGAATGATTGAAAAATTTACCAATTTACTTAATTTACCGAAAATTTATTACCAGTAAATTCTACATCCCTACACACTTTTTAGTGAGAGTTTTAGCTGTGTAGTGCAATGTATTTATCCATGGGGCTTCCGGTACTATATGGGTTATTACTTATAACTTAAACTGTAATACAGGGTTAAATAAAATATAACTTTTTCCTCACTCTTTTTTTTTTTTCGTATCTTTGGGATGTTCTAATTGTAATGAATGTTGCTGACTGCATAATATCTTAGGTGTGTTTTCCGCAAGGTGGGAGTGGCGGGTTTCAGGAGAATAGTATCTTCGATTGCTATTTTCTGCTAATCCAAAACCGAAATCGTCATCGTTATATGCACATTCATAATTTAAGTTCTGTAATCATGAATGATGAGTTAAAATATAACTAATATCTGTGGTGCATTAGGTACTATCGTTAGTAGTAGTTATGTTTTTTAATTTTAACTACGTTCTGTGGTACTATGCTTATATTATAATATTTAAGAAGGTGACATAATAACAACATCGTTACAACAACACTGCTAGAATAAGGTACATAGGTATATTATATTTAGGTACCTATATATTAATGGTTTAAAATGTAATTAACACCGAATTGGTTTTTACTATGGTCTCCCATAAGCTTAGCAATTAGCATACCAACTGATGTCCAGATTTTATTTTAGGTTTCTGCCCTAAACGGGCTAAACGGATAAACAAATTTGTAATATTACAGTACCCTATTTAATATTTTAATATACACAATAAAAATAACGTTTTCATTTTCTTAAAACTTCGAGGGATTTTGACCTTCAGCCCCTTCAGGCCTTGGGCTACAGCTTATTTGCGCCCTGAGGGATGTGGACAGACGGTAAATTAAAGTCGGGCGTTAGATTTTGAATATCGAAAAAAGCACCTTCGACTTCGTTCGACGGTAAAAATGGTAATCCAAAGAACATTGTTAACCATTTGGCTATATCGGAAGACTGATCGTTATATTACTTTTTTGGATCTGGAATAGAATTTATCTTCTGATACCAAGATTGACCTAAGTAAAATTTACAGGATTTTATGGTACTATTATTGTTAAATACGTTTCATTACATTACATTTTTTTTGTTATCGTTAATTTTGGCTCAAGCACCTGGACAATTTTCGTAAAAATATGAAAATCGAAAATCAAAATGTCTTGGTACTCATTATTATACAATTTTGTATCTTTTAGCGAAAAAAGTACATGATACTGATATAAAATGTATCATAATACCACGGGCGTCCCCAGAAATTTTACTATGGAGGGGCAAAATTAGTTTAAAAAATAAATGAAGATTTTTTTATACATCTTATGCTTATATTTTAAAAGTATAATCTTATTTTTTATAATCTTTATTAATATAAAATTGGAAGGTTAAATATAATGCTTTGGAGAACAAATTAAAAATTCTAGGGGGGGAAGTGCCCCGTCTTGTTCCCTCCTGGGGGCGCCTATGCATAATACATATAATATCAATATGCTATTGATACTTTAAAGTTATGTTTCATGATATAAGATACAATAATCAATCGAATCATTAATACCGCTCAACCCTAGCTATAATGTCTAGGTCAGAGGTCCCCAAACTGTGCGCCACAGCACCCTGGTGCGCCGCGGTGTGTTGTCAGGGGAACCGCGGCTGTGCCTCGCTGTCGACTATATCAGCGTTT